AGACCGCTACCAACAACAATTGACCAATTTGAGCGATGCATTAGAAGAAAAGAGGCCATTTACTGGCCAAGGACGTCGTAAAGTGATCTTGCTTCATGACAATGCTCAACTACATGTTGCGAAAGCGACTCAGGACCATATCTTTGCGTTAGGCTGGGAACTTCTTCCGCACGCGGCGTATAGCCCAGACATGGCGCCTTCCGATTACTATCTATTCCGGTCGCTGCAGCATCATTTGGCTGATACACATTTCGTGAGATTAGAAGAAATACGAAAATGCATTGATGACTTTATCGCTTCGAAGCCGGTGAGTTTCTATCGTCAAGGAATTCGCAAGCTACCCGAAATATGGCAAAAGGTCGTTGATGCAAACGGAGAATATTTCGCTGATTAATATTTTTTCGTTTGTTTTTGAATAAAGATTGAATTTTACAAAAAAAAGCTCAGAACTTTTTTGTACACCTAATACATGTGAGTCAACTAAATAAAATAAAACTTTTGTTTTTCAATATCTGTACATAAGTGTGATGCAAGCCTTCAGTGTCTGAACGTAAATTGTTTTCGTGCATAAGGATATGAAGATATTGTGATATAAGTCGCTTATTAAGAAAACGTTCTTCGTCGACTGCTGCGACATTCTCCTAGTCGAAGTCATGTTCAAAACTAATTGGATGTTCTGTAATTACCGAGTGATTATTAGTATTGCGGTTTTTAATGCTTGTATTGCTGAAGAGGACTCCAAAGAGAGTCGAAATGTTCAAAGATTATCAGAATAAAGGTTCAAGAACTAATTTTGCGTACTAATTATTACGTCGACTCTCAATCGCCTTGGTTTTGGATTTTTTTTTCTCAGAAATATTTCAACTGAAAAGTGAAACATTTCATAAAAGTTGCAAAATATGTCTGCAACATTTCTGAAACAGTTCTGGAATAGCAAAATGTTCGCAATTTTTACATATGAAATCTTGTTGGAAGGTTGCTGAACAGTTATAGAAAGATCTGTATTTTTTTTTAAATATTATCAAAAAGGTTACAGCTATTTCTAGTATTTCAAAAATGATATTTAAATATATGTATATTTAATTGTGCGTGTGTGTGATACTTAAATAATATTTAAATTTATTATGTCAACATAAGTATTGTTTAAGTATCAACTAAACATATTTAAATAATATTTCTGAAGTACGTAAGATTTATTAAGAGTTTTGTGATTTGTTTACGGATTACAATACTTATTGAAATAAATTATTTCTCCAAAATGTTAATTTTACCGCCAACTATTTTGATTAATTGATGACATTACAGAGACTATTCACACACAAAACTCATTCCACTTAAGATTTCGCCTACAAGAGCCGGCAAACTAGCGGAATGGTAAGTACTGTGGTTGTGGTCGTTACAGACTTTAAGTGGAACGCACCCATTATATGTATAAGCACATATATGTAATCACTATTGAAAAATTATTTACATCTGCAGTTTACACACAATATTATTATTTATATACAAAAGTTTTCGCAATTAATTAGTAGAACAAGTCACGATAACATCATAACGACGTTGAGCTGAATTGAGATTGATCAAAAAATGATTTTTAATAAGTATTTTGGAGCCATTTTAACGTTGATACGTCAATACGATTAGTTCTTACTTTCGATTCGTCATGGATTTAAATGTATAAACCAATCACATTGAAGAATTTTACAACAGTTGGAAAGCTAGATTTTGCTGAACGCAGCCATTAACATATTAAATTTGCGGTGTTTTCGCACATTTATGAGGTAATGTAGGTAGGAATACGCGAGTGGGGATAGATATACGCAAATAGGCACTAATAAATGAAAATAATAAATGAAAGGTAGGTAGGACAATAAATATGGATAAGTAGGGACTGTATAGGTAGGACAATAGGTATGTATAGGTAGGAATAAACACATTATATGTACATACTTGATAATTGGAAAGGAGGGATTAAGAATTGAATAAAATTTTAAATTAATTTTAAGTTTTATTTAATTATCAGCACTCCGTTCCAATTATCAAATATGGAAATAAACCAAATTAATTTTAAATTTTATTCAATTTTCAGCTATCCCAAAATTAAACTTTTTGTTAAAATTCTATACACGTACAAATTATGTAACGCGTTAATATTGTATTTAATTTTATTGTAAATAAATGTATGTATAATAGTATTAAGTACGTAATATAAAAAATTTATGTAAACTATGCCCAGATAAATGCCATCATATTTACTTTTGTAATTTGCACAACGATTACTAATAAATTATATATTTATTGGTATATATGTATGTACGCGCACACATTCACAAATTCTTTTTTTAATTTTTAAGCAGCATATAGATGGTTCATTTAGTTATATAAATAAATAATATAAATAGTAGGTATGCGAGGGAATACAATAATAAGTAAATAAATCTTTTATATTTGAATCTTGTCTCTTTTTTACAAAATTATATGTTCATTATGTACAAACTATAAACTACATATATCGTTTTCAGTTTCTTTTTTCTTTAACATTTTTGATTTATAAGAATAATTGTTCCTTCTTCATTTTAAATATTAAGTTTCAGGATCTGAAAGAATTATATTTGCAATTATATCAGATCAATGAAGATTTACATTTCTTCTTTTGTTAATTATTATTCTTTATTTAAAAAAACAATGATAAAAAGTTAACTTTTGATTAGTTACATGATTTGTAGTTAAATTATTTTGAATAGGAAAATATATAAAATCACTACAAAGGGTATCCCAAAATTCGTGACTCGAAATAATATATAGTTCTTGAAAAATTAAGTAAAGTTATTTGTTTTTTTATTCGAAGCAGTATTTTTTGAGATGATAAGGGTTTATAAATATGATCAATTACAAATTAAGACTATGGTCTACTTGATGCTACAAATGCTTCGAAGCATTTGTAGTGCTAAATGAACCGGCACCCTATGTATTTTAGATGGCCACATGTCTCGCGTGTGCGGTATTATTAGTGGATGCTGATGAGCGCGTCCTTCAGCGTATTCACTTACACTCATCGTCTAAACGTAGTATTATATATAATTGACCATATTTAAATCCTTATATCTCAGAAAATATTGTTTAAAATAAAAATTTGCAAATCACTTTTTTTTATTTAATTTTTCTAAAAATTTTTTGCTATAGTATTTTGAGTCGCGAATTTTGAGACATCCTGTATAATGATATTTATAACTTATATATCGATTAGTATTTTGTGATAATTAATAATAATTAATTTATACCTGAACTTTTGTCTCGTTTGCGCTTCTTATTGGAAATTTTCACTGATTTTGAATTTCTCTCTGTATTTGTTTGTTGGTTTTTGTTCAGTGCTTTTGGCACAGAAGAAACAGTATTATTAGAATTCAATACATTTGACTTTCTCGAATCTTGTGGCAATTTTTCTCGTACAGTAATAGTACTGATATTTTTAATATTTACTACAAATAAAATATAACGATTTATATACAGAAAATTTCTCACATTCCCAATGAAAAATATTATATCAAATAAAAAATAAAATATGGTGTGTTCCTATTATTTTTTTTATATTTTATATCTTATCTTATTTTTCTACACATGTATATTATTTCTATTAGGAATTTATTGAGGAAACTTTTACTTCACAATTAAATATAATATTCCTGCTTAAAGAAGAAAATTACTTACTGATCTTATAAGGTTTCTGTTTTTTACCAGTAGCAAAAATGCAAGATGTGGTACCCACTTCTTTGCGAACAATTCTGTATTTACTTTCATTGAGTTTTATCGATTTCTCTTTTAATGTTAGTACTTGACCTTGCAAATTGCTTTGCAGTACCTATAGAATAATTTAAAGATTAACTTTGACAAAGATCTAAAAAAACATTTGTGTGTGTGTGTGTGTGTGTGTGTGTGTGTGTGTGTGTGCGCGCGTGTGTGTGTGTGAAATCATTATATTATTTTTATTCTTATATTAAGCTAGCGTTTCCACTTTGAAAAAATAAATTTATTTACTGCATAATCATATACGTAACCACTAATCAATTAGTATTCAATTTTTTATTTTCACAGATTAATAGAAAATTAAGACCGAGACACTACGTGTCTCCAGTTCAAAGAATTAGAAATCTGTATTTATAGAAATGGTTGGCGATATATATGGCTTTTTTAGTGATTTCTAATTATATATATATATGAACTAATAAATAATTATTTTTAAAAAGTATGCAGGATTTATATATATATATATATATATATAAAACAAAAAGTATACCTTGCTTGGAACATTTAAAATAAAAGCTTCTTCGTCTTCAGAAAGATCGGCTAATGTAAAACTTGCTGGTATTTTTTCTACAAACAAATCTTGATCTTCGATTAGTTGTTGTAACTGAAAAGGTAAATGCGTTTTCTAGCAAGGACACAATGTAACACAGTAAATCATTTCATCTTTGTTAATGTTGACAAACAAGAATGTAATAATTCACTATGTTACACTGTGACCTTGCTAGAAAATGCCCTATATTAATTATAAGTTCCTAAATATTGCATTAAAAATTTCATTCTATGGGTATTAATTTAGTGCAAAATATGTCACTTTTTGTTGATAGTTTTAACTCATTTTTTAGTTGTCCTAAATGAATTCTAAAATTTATTCTATCTTGTTATATGCAAAAAGAATGTACTTCAATGTAGAGAAAGAAAAAGAAACTTTGATTTTTAAAAAAATATTTCAAGCCAAAAGGAATAATTCTGATATTATTTAGAGTTACTTACATTGCGTGGTCTATATTGGCAAGAGCTATTAAGATGTGTATTTGAACATTTGACTGATGCTTGTGTACTTTGCTCGTATTCAGATTCATATCTTGTCTTAAATTCAGTGCTTATTGCTTCTTCATTCTGATTACTTTTAGTACATACGTTCTCCTTATCTAACATAGATTGTTTGTGTTTTTGAAATTCATTAATAGATTTCTTACTATTGCACGAAACGTCACTATCAGAAACTTTTAACTGAAGACTTTCAATTAAGTTTTCTTGACTTCGGTTATCATTATGTACATTTTCACAATTTGACGTTTCCTGTAGTGAGTTTTTGTTTGTTGTAGATTGCAATGAATCATTATTCGCATATGTACAACTTATTAATGATTCAGTCTTTTTCATGTCTTCCTTCGTGTTCGTTGAATCTAATTTTATTTCTTCTGATGTAGCCTTTTTACAAATGCAAATATTTTCCCTACATTGGTTTGTTTAGGAGCGCAGTTGATTTCATCATTGTTCAAGTTGTCGTCTTCACTGCAATAACTCGTATTTGAACTATCAATATGTTTTTGCGAGGTTTTGGTGGTTACATATTCATCGTCACTTTCACTGGAATCGCTGTTTACTACTAAATTCAATGTTGCTTGTTGCTGAAGTCGCTTTTTAGTTTGAGGTGACATATAGTTCATATTATTCTCTTCATTATCAGTTTCTAATGCCATTGGTGTTTCAATTTCTTCCTCATTTACCTCTGCTTCTTGCAAATTATCAGTATTATGATCAACGATATCTGGACAATGTATTAAAGTATTCTTTTTTATAGAAGCATTTTCATTGCTAATGTTCGTACTATCAATTTTATCAATTTTTTCTATATTACTCTTGACGACATTGTCTTTCTTATATGTTAGCTTATATTTTTTGTTTAGAATTTCAGTGCACATAATTTTAGGTAATGAAGTTTGACGTTTTTGTGTATCATGTGTATCCTGTTTCATATAAGTTTTATCTTCTTGATTTATTAAATGCATCTTTGCATTCTTATCAACTTGATTTAATTGGAAGAAATTATTTTCTTCTTCCTCATCATTTGTTTGTCTATTATTTTTATCTAACATATTATTGTAAGATTTTGAATGAACATCTTTTATATTTTCCTTAGGAGATAGTTGCTGTTTTTGAACATCGCATAAGTTTTCTGATTTCACGAAATGCGTTCGATCTTCATGATTTATCGAATGAATCTCTGTGACATTGTCAATCTGATTTAATTGAGGGAAATTTTTTATTTTTTCTTCGGAGGATTCTTTTTCTTCTTTGGTATTTTGTTTTCCTGAAACATTGTTGTACGATTTCAAATATATGTATATTCTTTGTACGATTCTTCATACGAGAAAAAAATCGTTATTTTTAATCTCATAAGTTTTTATAAAATAATCTTACCTTTGTGATTAATTGAAGGAACCTCTACATCAACCTTTGCATTATCTTCCTTTAATTGGAGAGATATATCTTCTTCTTCTTTTTCAGCATAAGACTGCAAGGTTTCGAATGAGCTTCCTTCATACAATCTTGTTTAGGAGATAACAATTGCTGTTTTAGAATATCACTTGAATCTTTCGCTTTTACAAAATGTTCATCTTGCTCATTTGTTTCTACGTTCATATCAATTTGATTTAATTGGGAGGAATTTTCCATTTTTTCTTCTCCAGAAGGTGTCCTCTCTTCTTTGTTAATTTGTTCTCTTAAAATGTCATTAAATCGTGGATCCTTTACAACTTCTTCACTATCTTCCATTGTTTCGAGTGCTTCATCAATCTTGTTCAGTTCAAGAGAGGAAATAAGAATTTTATTCGCGTTTTTCTCCATATTCTGACTCATTGGAGTCTTATTAGATTTTTTGATCTTGACCAACCTATCTTCCAAATCTTCATCAATTCCAGAGTCTTTTTGCTGATCTTGCAAAACATCTGATGACAAATCTTTATTAGGTACATTTGTTTGTATTTTCTTTAATGGTGTACTGTGGTGTCGATCAAAATTTACGATATCTGGAAGTAACTGATCATAACTTAATTCACCTCCTATATTTTTATCTGTTGCATTTTTACTATTATTCATGGAATCGACTTTCTCTAGCACTATTATCAAGTTTCTTTTAACATTTTTTAACAATTTTGATTTGTGATTCATATAAACACTGTCACAATTCTTCGAGTTTATCGAACTTTCAATTACTGCAGTTGATTCGTTGACGTCATCTTTTGATTTAACAAGGGAATTTAATTCATTATCAGAATTAGTATTATTTTCTAAACTTATCGATTGAGGTAGAGAATAATAATGTAAACCATGAGAATTAAGTTCAATATTTTCATTTATTATTGCACTTTGATTTTTTTTATTTTGTACTTTTCTTTTACTCACAGGTTTTGTTTTATTGGATATCATATTATCTTCGGAACTTAATTTATTATCTATTACATCAAAGTCTTCGTGATTCCGTCTCACATATTTATTTCCAGATTTTATTATACTAGATGCCGAATCGATTTGAGAATCAAATTGTGAAGAAAGAGATTGCTTACTAGATTGAGCTTTCAAATGAATACGATCATTATCCTTCAAAATATTTTTTTTATTATTTGAGATATTTGTATGTGATCGTTTACGTGATACACTATTGTTCTTGTTTGTAACTTCTTGCCAGTCTGTATTAATACATTCCTCAGACACTGCAGGATTCAATCGCAGCGATCTTCTCACTTGTACTTTTTTTTCTGTACTTCTGCCTCTGCTTTTCTTCTTATGTATGATAATTCTTCTGTTACAGCCTTCATAGTCCTTCTTGCGGATAGAAACATAATTCTGAAAACTTCTGGCTTTATATTTGGCTCGTTTTGATGAAGAATTATATATAATATCGTAATCGACATCACTGAGACTGCTACTATCACTAGTATCAGTATCTTTTACTAAGTTTCGTATGACATTGGTTTTCAATTCTACATAGTGCTTATAATCTTTCACACCACAATGTTTTTTTATTTTAGTATTGAGTAGTTTTGTGCTCTTTCGTATTTTCCGTGATGGCCTAAATTTATGTATCAGGGAGTTCTCGAGCATCCTGTCTGTAACAGAATTGTCCGTGATTGTCCATGTGATGTTCTCATGGGAACACATGGCTTACACCGTTTATATCTAAAAGCATAAAATGGCAATTAATATTAGCGCATACATGACTTCTTTCCTTGTTTAAAGGGAACTTGCTATTATTGCATGTCTTTATTAATGAAATATGAAAGGGATAATTTAAAACTGTTGCTCAATATTGTGAAAGGTGTAATATTTTACTTTTTTTTTATTAATTTCTTATTTTATATTAATTTATTAATTTCTTATTTTATTTGTTATTTTATTCATTTTCTTAACTGCTTTCAAACTGAAAGATTCGTTTTTTTAATAGTTGAACTGTGTATACTTTTTATACTTAAAGCGAAATAGGTATATATTTGAAATTTAGCAAAAGCGAGAAGGAAAGTACTAATGCAGTCTAGTGCAGCATAAAAAAACTAATTTTATAACTTGTTAAAAGATCATAATCAAAGATCCAATCGAATGTAAGCATGTGAAATCAAAATGCATTTCTCAAAATTCTCAGTAATAATGAAATGACAAACTCGAATGAGAGACGCTACAGCATGTTCCTTCAAAAAGATAAACTCTGGGAAATAACTGATTGTAGCTTCTAAATAAGACCACTTTTTCGAAAGATGAAAATAATAATAGATTTTCTAACCTGAAAAGACACCTTATAACAGTTCGTTATTCTTTGTAATCTCAAGTTTCGTTGATATCTTTACACCATCTCTATACAACTGCGATACATACGTAAATGGAATTTTATTGATAATACAAAAAATTTAAGTTTCGCACAGGTAAACACAGCTCATTTACACACATTGGCTGCGTTCAGCAGACTCAACAGTTTTGCAACCGTTTTATGATTGTCTGCTGAGATAGGACCATTCTTCTAGATCTAAAAGTATGATCCAATTAGCGCGAAGGAAACTTACAACAGTTGCAAAACAAACGTTCTGCTGAACGCATCCATCTATACACCTCATTTGTGGCGTAGCCAGGGCTGCGTTCCGTTACCCCGGATCTACAATAGGTGTTTTAAGCCTTAAGCCGTAAGAAATTGACCAATTACAGTCGAATTCGAGTAGAATAATCGAATACGATTCGTCCATTTCTTATGGCTTAAGGCTTAAAGGTGCCGTCACATATGCTAGATTCACACTGCATCCGATTTTCGTCGTACGATGCTCTACAACCAATCAGAAAACAGGATTCCGATGAATTTTGCTTCGTATTATCGGAATTCTTTTTTCTGATTGGATGCAGAGCGTACGATGAAAATCGGATGCAATGTGAATCCAGCATTACTCACTTACATGGGACAGCACCCTTTAAAACATGCGTTACGGACGCAATACCTAGTAACTTTTGCAGACATCCGGTGCGAATTACCCATAGACGTTTAACATCAAATGTTAAACAAGGACAGATGATGAATCCGAGGCATCAAAGGCATCTGAACGACGTTTCCGAACGCAGCTATTATGTAGAGATAAGAAGAAAAGTTTTTTCAATAAAATTTTGTAGTAATAATGACTATTATGTAATATCAGAGAGAGCAATACTTTCGCTGATGCAGTTATTAAAATAATATAATTTGAGATAAAATACTTGTTACATTTAAGTGATACACAAGTGCATAAATTGTACAGTACTAAATGTCGCGAAATATCATGGGTAACAATATGAAATCTTGTCGCATATTCAGGTTTATGCTATGCTATCAACTTATTACGAACGTGAATCAGATTTAAGCCGGAATCAGACTAGGCATTAAAGATTGAGATTGAAGATTGAAAGATTGAAATTTGACCAATCAAAACAATAGGAGCTAAAATTCCTTTGCCCTCATTGATCAAATTTCAATCTTCAATCGTCGATCTCAATCTTCAATGCGTAGTCTGATTCCGGCCTTAGGGTGCGTTCCGAATGAAGCGCATGATGCATCATTTGTCATTGGCTGCGTTCAGCAGACTCAACAGTTTTGCAACCGTTTTATGATTATCTGCTGAGATAGGACCATTCTTCTAGATCTAAAAGTATGATCCAATTAGCGCGAAGGAAACTTCCAACAATTGCAAAACAAACGTTCTGCTGAACGCAGCCAATGGCTGAAAGCAGCTTTGCAACTGTTGTAAAATTCTTCAATACGATTGGTTCTTGCTTTTGGTTCCTGACAGATCTAAATGGCTGCGTTCAGCAGACTCAATAGTTTTGCAACCGTTTTATGATTCGTCACGCTGATTGGATTATATTTTTAGATTTAAAGGAATAGTCCTATCTCAGCGCAGAATCATAAAACGGTTGCAAAACTGTTGAGTCTGCTGAACGCAACCAATGATACATCATGCGTTTCATGCGCAATTTGAAACGCACCCTTAAAGTCTGGTTCTTGAGATACAGAGAGCAATAATGAGAAATATGAAGGAGCGTTGGGAAAAGTTCATTACATATGCGCTTATATCAATAAAATTTATTTTAAACAATTTGAAATTTTAATAAAAACTCAGCCGTTTTATGTATAAAAAGCTAATACATAATTAACATTAAGTATTAAGAATTTGACATAGCACAGCAACAGGTAAAGATCATTTGTTATCATTTTCTGTTATTTTGCTACTTTATCTATTGTCTTATTGAACATGGCATACCATTGCTATTACATGCCAATGCTGTAATTTCAGCATTCATTCAGTTGGATTCAATTGGAAGTGTAAGAAAATTTCACAGAACAGGAAATAATAAATGTTTTACAGAAAATCAATCTTGTGTTTTACATTTATTCTTTTCAATAATATAAAATTACGTTAATAACACGAGACGCGTATGTTACAATATTTCACAATGTAACATGTCTTCGACACATTTGTGGGAAGCGATTGAAAGACCGTCGTCTTGTTTATGTTAAAACGTACAATCGAATCGAGTCAATTCCAAACATGCCATCGAGTACGGAAGTACCGACAAGTTTTATTTTGATTGAGTAGTGGTGAATCTACATTTTTGGCAGTTTTAAAACTAATATTCCTCCAGAGAAAGAGATGTTTTTTTAAAAAGTTTGGTTTGTAGATACGTAATTCAGTTATTAATATAAAAAATACTTTATGCTCTTATATTCGTTTGCATTATTTGACAAAATAATCTTTGAAGTTAAAAAAAAAAATTAAAAATTTTAATTGAAAAAGCAATACAGTAGCATACATCTGTATGCGTGTCAAGGAGAGGGCCTCAATATCTTTTTAAAACTTGAACTACGTTAGCATATTGCTAGATTCGCTATTTGTAATTCTCTTGACCGCTCCGCGAAGCCAAAATTTGATTATTATTTGATTATTATAACTGAAATCTCACGCTATTCGCTTCTAAAAAAAAAAAATAAAAAATCGAAGACTGCTTGAGAAAACATTCGCGTGCATTCTGTTATAACCGTTGTAAATTAGATATATCTGGTATAAATAGTACGAGAACTATATTACAAAAATATACAGCATCAGTAAAGTGACGCCAGTTACATCCAAATTAAAACCATCTCAACAGTTATCTTATGTCTAGACTAATTACATAAATACATCTTATATACATCCTTCAGGTATGATTCGTGTTAGTTGGTAGAAACAGTATTGCATACATATGTAAACTCATTACTTTGAATAAAAAATACGGAAAATAATATATCGCGCGAGGGACAATGGTACTTCATCCCCTCTTTGTATTTGACCTGTCAAAAAATTATGTTTATGCAATTTACTTTATGCTGTGTGTCAACATGACACTTTTAAATAAGGGTAACTAAACGGTTGATTATGACGATCATAAAATATAGCCGGAAAGCGTTACAATTAAGTTAATCAGCGTAATTCCGTTAACCAGGCTTCTACACACAACTGAACTTGACACCTGAAAATTTAACAGCAATGTAGTAAGACAATGTAGCAAAATCTGAGATGAAGGTATTTTACTGATTTTTGCATATTTATAATTTATAATTGCGTTAATAATTGTCTTTATGTTTTTACGATATAAAACTTTCAATTGAGATTAATAAATATTATATATTTGCAATTATTTTTAAAATGAAATTTTTAAAACGTTCTTTCTTTAATTATACCGAGGGTAATATGTATTTTATCGAATACTCTTGAAATCACAGCGTGTATAATCATACAATTATATTTGACGAATTAAATGTTTGTACCATCGTCACTGGAGTAGCAGTTATGGCAGTGGAGTTTATGATTTCGAACGCGCACGTCCGTTCCCATTAATCCATCGCCAAGACGCACATGGCATACGCAACACTTAAAGCACTCCATATGATAAAACAATCGTAGACTTTCGATTATCATCGCAGCGCCTCGACCTAAAGAATTATAAAGATATTTATAACGATGAAAGAATGTTTTAACTTTAACTTATTACATTACCTAATTCCTCTCCGCAATGTGAACATTTCTTCTTTCCACTCACGCTAAGCATTTTTTCTTGATTTCCGCTGTTATTCGCGATTGGCGTATGTTGTGTTTTTTGAGATTGTAATGTATACTGTGGTGATTGATGTTGCACAGTCAAATGTTCTTGATTGTGAACTTGTTCTGGCCTGAAAAAATGTTCTTTTATAATTCATAAAAAGCAAGCCTTTGAAAAGAAAGTCTAAATGAAAGTTCAAATATCAAATATATAAATAAAAAATATAAAGAATATATTTTATTCTTATTAAAAAATTATGATTAATTATTAAAAAATTTTGTTTCGTTGTGTATATTATTATTAAAAAAATATCAATAGTTCGTAAAATCAATTTTTTCGCAAATTGCCGAATACTAGTTAAATTTACCTTCGTCTTGTTAAAAGAGGTTTCTCTTGCGTTTTACTCTGTACCCTTTGTGTTAAAGTTTGTATGATAGAATCGGGTAGCGGTTTGCTATCTGTCCGAATTGGAGCGTTATATGGTACGGAAGTGCCAGTTACATGCGGTTGAGATTTTCGCGCCGGTGATCGTTGATTTCTCTCATTAATTCTCCTTTGTTCCGCCTCCTGTTGAGAAATTAATTGAGATAGAACTTATCTCATGATTACTTATCTCACGTTACTAGAGAAGTACATTAGATTTTGTTAGAAATTTTTTTTTAAATAAAATACACGATAAACATTGGAATAAAACTGAAAAATTAAATTTTCGAAAAAAATTAAAAATCTTATTTTAACAATGAATGATTTATTGAACAAATTTTTTTAATGGAGTTAATGTGTCTCTTTAAGAATTATAGAATTATATAAAGAAAATAAATTTATACATAAATATGCCAATTAATATAAATAATACTAATACGCACTTGAATAAGCCAATGTTGATAGTTCACATCATTAGCTCCTCTAGGCACGTCACTTTTCCTTCGCTGGACCCACTGATCACCTTGAACAATTCGTGGACGCGGTACTGCACTTAATGCCTGTAAATAAAAAGTCTATAATCAGAGTCTGACCACGATATAGCTATGTCCGTGATTGGTCCGACATTTTTCTTCAATTCGTCATAGTTGTTTGAAGTGTATTTCATTATCAAATCTTTTGACGATGGATTATTGCAAAAAAGTGCTGGCGCATTCAATCATTTTTATTCAGAAAGAAATACTTATAGATATTATCGAGAAAAGCAAAATCAAGAAAAAGTTGGATTACAGAAAACTACGTGTATATATATATATATATATATTCATCGCGTATTTACTTATGTTCGCTAGGAACTATGAAGCTTACAGAGCTGCTACATTTCCAGTTCCACAGGGCCACTCTAGAG